CACAAAAAACCGTAAACGTGTTTGGTGATCAAATGCACACCTAGTTTGTGTAAGCCTTTACGAGAGTACGATTTGAGCGTATTAGATTGAAAATGTGAATTTACTAGTGACTGAGTTTATTTGACAGGCCGCTAAATAACCCTTCAGGTTCTCTGCTTCTCGCCACATCGCTTACGAACGTCGATTTTTCATTGAAGCTCGACAGTAGATGAGTTTGTATTCCAATTTAATGCTTGAGATATGAAGTATGTTTAATAATAATTAAATTGAATTTCAAAATGCGTATGTCGCATTTGCAATACGTTTTTTGAAACTTGACATATTTCATTGCTACTTTCTTTACTGTATAAGGCCAATCGTCTTACACGAATCATTAACCGTAGTGTTCAGTACGAACATGTGTAAATTATATATTTACTTTCTCTCCATTCGTCGCTAAAAATAGTCCGTAGGCATTTGAAGAGGGTAATGGTATGTACTTAGGTGCAACATTGAGTTCTTTCTGCTGATCGCAATGATAGTGTATGTTTCACTTTTTCCAAGTTTGAAAGAAACCATTAAAACCCCCGTCACGTTATAAGGTCTGCAATCACAGCACATTTAATTGTTCATTTATCTGCCGAGTTATAAACCGAATGTTATATGAGGACTTAGCAACCTGCTTCGTGACTTTCAACATTCCCTTATATATTTCGTTCCTTTCTCAATTACAGTTTTAATGGGCATACAGTATCACACAGCTCTGAAGAGATAAACATATACAGAACAGAACCGATTATGCTGACCCCGGACTAGGTCTTAACAAAGAACTTGCGCCATCTACGACGCGTTGTTGTTTTCTGTGGATGCGCTACATACTGGAATGATAAAGTAACGTAACGTTAATAGACGTTTTCTCTCAACCACTCTTACAGTTACTAGTTTTCTAACAAGCCTGGTAAACGTTCAATATGGTTGACTCGGACATTAACGATACTATAGGCAGCGACGAATATTCATCTTATTCAGCGGGTTTCTTCGGTTGGCGAGAAAGCACTCTGGGACTGACCATAGTTCACTACATATTCGCTATCTTGGGGATCGGAGGAAACTTCATTGTGTGTCTGGTGATTTTACGTATCAAGAAACTACATACCTTGACTAACTATTTCCTACTGCACCAATCAGCAATAGATTTGCTAGCAACCGTGGTATTCATCGTGACATTTCTTGTTCCCGAGTATCACATCGAGTCTTATAGTGTGCATAGTACACTCTACTGTAAACTCATATGGTCCGAATATTTGTACTGGGCGCTGATGTTGCTGTCATCACTCAACTTATCCGCACTGTCGCTCGAGAGATATTTCGGCATCGTTCACCCGATTAAGCACCACAACAACTTTAATATACAGAAAATAAAACTCATCTTTGTGATCGAGTGGCTATTCTCCTTCATCTACCTGTCGTACTGGACAGTCCTGTGTGATAGTCGTGGCGAATATTGCGTGATTTCTTCAAAGAACGAATTTTGGTCTAAAGTTGGTACGTTTTTTGACTCCTTCTTTCTAAACATCATGCCCCTTGGCATAATGTTATTCTCGTACATTAAGATATTCGGCGCTCTGAAGAACAGGGTGAAGCCAGAAGAAATCAAATCGTCGTCGCAGGACAAAGATAACAAAAAAACTATTAATCACTGGGACAGAGCAAAACGAAATGTCGTTCGGACACTATGCATTGTGTTCGTTTCTTTCGCTATATGCTGGTTTCCTAGTACTGTTTATGATCTACTTTACGTGTTCGGCGTTCCCCTGAATTATGACGATACTTTTTACTTAATCGCAGTGCTGTTTGCTCTTTTCAACATGTGCGTCAATCCGGTAATTTATACACTACAATACGAACAGTTCAGAAAAGGTCTGAAACAAGTGTTTTTGTGTAATAAATCCAATCAGCCGGGCGGAAACTCCACCGTTGCGACGACATCATCTCAACATAACATTGACGGTTAATACAATAAAACATGGACAATGTTAATCTGTCAATCAACGCACAACCAGAATGTCATGCGACGGCGGCATGGAAACGGACATGTAATGTATTATATTAATAAACCATCACTCGAAACTGTACAACTCTTGCCGCATGCAACTCTTGCTACATAATTTGTATAACTCTGTATCAGAAATTTGATTTACTTTTCCGCCAACGACATTGACTTACATGTGTGTATGTATCGACGCCTACGAGAGTAGTAAATATGGTCACACTACTGGTACGTTTGGTACTGTCTGGCGATAACTTTAATTTGCGGAAAACTTCCCAGTCTTCTTTTTTGTGCTCCGACGTTTCGGGAATTGGATATGATAAGAAAACCTTTTCATCATATATATTTATATATATTGAGTCGTTTATTTTGTTTTATGATTCTACGAGAACTGAACATATTCACTCGGCTGACGTGCTTAATAAGATATTGTATTGTGCACAGCGCTTGTGTGGTTTGAGGATTATTTTACATACAATATATTAGTGAATGGGTTACTTATGCGTAAATCATTTTAAGTGGTGCTGCGTGAGCACTTATTGCAACATAAAGTAGTGAAGCACATACAGCATTGGGATAAAATGTTAATGCAATTACCTTTTGTAAAACTGAAACAAAAATGAATGAGGTATAGTGTATTTATCGACCAACATGGAATTTGCACGTGTTGCCATGACATTACATCACAGTCCAATACATCATGCTACTGTAATATATTCTTTATCGATTTATTGTTGCAATATCATCAATTTAGTGATGCCTGTGCGGTGTAGTGAGACGTGTGATGTTTTTCCGAACCTTTTGGTTGATTGTAATACAGTAACTGTACAATCGATGTGTAGAAAATACTAATGTTACAAAAACGAGAAGATTATTGTATCTAAAAAAGAATAAATGTTCTAGGGCCCGTTTTTATTTTACTACGAACACATAAGGAACACTTCGTTGTACTTTGAATTTGTTTTACTGATTTGGGCGCGGTTTTTTGGTTGTTAATATTATATATAATAACAATACTCTATTGGAATAGTGATAACCATCGCCCGGTCTAGTATATCAGCTCGTGTATATGTCATGCATCTGTGCTATACACAAGATCTACATGTATATTACCCTCGTATATATTCTTTGTAGAATGATATTTATGAAGAATTGTTATATAGTGTATTGATTTCATTTGTAAATACTGTGAATAAAAAGCGTCGTTACACTTACGTAAGGCATGCACAAGTATACGATTGAAAATAATATGGAAAGTGTTGAGTGTCTCCGTGCTTTACAAGTACATAATCCCGCATACATAATTTGTGAATAATTACAAAGGCCTATAATCAGGTAGGAAGATTAGGTGTCTGTATGTAATATAATCTCATCCAATTACTTCCCCTGCAAATACCACGACATTGCTCTGAGCATATGTTGACTCAAAGCTACACCCAACATGGGACTCTAGGCTGGCACATGCGAATTTATTTTGGGTTACATTGACTCTCCCTTTAGATGTTAATATGTCAACATATTTAGGGAATTGAAAACATTTGTGAAAATGATGATTGCCGATTATTGTACGTGATACAATATAATACTAATAATATTGTTGTGAAAATAGAATACCAAGGTACAACAAATCTGCTCTGCAATTTGGTCCTGAAATTGGTGCTTTCGCCGCTGTCTTTTATTCAATAGTTAATGTGAGTACAGATTTTCAATCTCAACGCACGTGTTACATATCATACGGCTTGAACTGGAGTCTAACGATGTCTATAATTACACTCTACATAAATCTGAAATGTTTGTATTCACTGTTCTGTGATATGTACACGCACCCCATATTATGCATTATACACTATTCCTTAATCACTTGCGTTGGATATTACAATTGAGATACACACTTATATTGTGTCACATGTTCAGTGAAAGGAGTGGAATGCGGGCTTATTTACGTTGTTAAAAAGGATGATTATATTTATAAATCTGAATACAAAAACACGTCATTAAATAATAATCTATACATTTCTGTACATGCTAGAATATACACAATTCTACAATAGTTTAATTTAAATTTTTAATTGTTTCCTTTTATTCGAAATTCCCGATAAAAGAGTAAATGTATTTGAATATGTACTAATGGTACTTCGCAAGACACCTAAAATCCCTGCTATACATTCTCGTAACCGCATTACTATATATGCTGTATTAAAAGTCGACGCGCTACCTATTAATGCATGATAACAGGGCAGAGACAGATAATGCAGTTCAATTGAAAAAAACAGAAAAGAAAGAATTTCACAATGCAATGAATTACTGTGCATTCTCATGAGGTTTACTTAATATATGATAATGTACAGGTATGCAAAGATTGTATGCATATAACAGTAAAATGGATGGGCGTCTAAGGGTGAACTGAGAATTTTACTGCTTTTGACACACGAATAAATAGGTTTATAAATCACGAGATTGCGAATAATGCCTACACACAACACGTATTTATTTGATAACTGTTATCTCAATATAATTTAATATACATTCTGTATCATTGCATTTATCATCCAATGAGATTTGAGCATTCATAAGCCAAAACAATCAGTACTAGCTGTGACTCTTTACTGGGCCACGGGGTATAACCCATAGTTTAGAACCTCTATTCATGTTATCAAGGCGAATGTTACAATTCCTTGTGTATCGTATATTACTATGTGATACATGTTGATTTATTGCGTAATCATATTATCAGTTCTTACATTTTATTTGCGCAGTTCATTTACGTACGCACACGTACGTTGTATTTGTCTGAGCTAGGCGACCAATGAAAGGCATAAATAAATAATGTAGCAATAGATGGTAACATGTAACTATGGTACAGTATCTATTCTATTCGCAGAAAACAGTTACAACGTATAATAGTTATGAATCTAAACACTAATCAGCTTAAGTATCACTCACGAATATTCACATTTCAGTACAATCTGATTAAAATCTGATGTAGTGTACGGGCTTTAATTATTTTGGCTAAACTTATTTTAATTTTATTTTTTATTACTTTTGTTATTAATGCCCTTTTATTTTATTTTATTTTATTATTTTACTTTGATTTTGATTTTGTGATTTTTTTAATTCCGCCCTACCTACATCTGATCCGACGCCTATGTAACGAGATTTCAACGAGACCCACTATCGACGATTTTAGTCAACGAATCACATACCTCCTTCTATAGCGCACACGATGACGTCACCGGGCGGAGTCGGGTGGCAAACACACTCAAATAAAATGGCGGATTATACCGACGTTAGCGACCGAGAATAACACGGCTTTTCGGTAAGTTTATCATTGTCAAATGCAACGAAAGTCATTTTTATGTTAATATTGTGGCTCGAATGGTTCGACTTTAGATCGTTATTTTGCATAGTTATTCTGGGAGTGACGATTTTGTTTCCGCTGTTTCGACCGAACACCAGTGTCTTTTTCCAGTCGCCTGCCCTGGAGACGGGTGATGTTTTGTTGAAGATCGGGCCAACATCGTCTACGGTATTGAAACCGTAGCTGTAAATATTCATCAAATTGTATCATCATTTTGTACATTATACAATAACTCTTCATTAAAGTAAGTGAGCTGATTTGGACTGGAATAAAATATTGGAACACATCGCAATTGATCAGGAAATATTTTTTTGCTCCAATTTTCTGCGTCGATGCTGTGGGCCGGTGACCGTTATACAATTTAAAATCAGTTTGCATTGTTTACTATAGCTGTTTACAGTGTTCTAATCATTACGATTTACTTATTTTTTTGCTTCCATTCTAGATAATTATGCTCAGTGATGTAAAATTGAAACGATGACTAAATGAATGAACCTTGGTAGGCGAAGATGTATCTGGAATTATACACATTTGTTGGAAGTGAAGAAAATATTCAATGTAATGACAAAAATTGTAAAATGCTGTGGAATTTCTTTTGCAAATAAAAATATACTAGCAATTTTCTATTAATGGTTTATTCAAGTGGGCAAAATATAATGTACAGAAAGATTGCCCGTAGAGTATCGCTACACTGAAAAGTAAGCAACCGACGGCCTGTATAAAAGGAGGGCTGTGATTGGCTGTTACTTATGCGAGATTTGAACGGGACTTACATAGGCGTCGGATCAGATGTAGGTAGGGCAGAATTAAAATAAAATCACAAAATCAAAGTAAAATAATAAAATAAAAGGGCATTAATAACAAAAGTAATAAAAAATAAAATTAAAATAAGTTTATAGCCACAATAGTTAAAGCCCGTACACTACATCAGATTTTAATCAGATTGATTTCAGTATTGGTCTGTAATTTTAACGTAAATATTTCACTGTGAAACTGCCATAGAAGACTAGATTATTCATATTAGCGTTGATTAGCAACAGCTGTGCCTCCAAGAAATAAATATAGAAAGTGGAGTCCCAGAGCAGAGAAATCAAAAGGTTTTGAATCACCTAAATGAAAGATAAGATCATAACAATAAAATTATTAATTACCACAAGAGCTGTATTTGAAAGAACATATTTAAAACATAAGGTAACAGCTCCTCGTGTTTGAAAAAGTGTTGCAACACGAGAAACAGTATTATTATGCTGAGACTTTGAAAATTGTTTTCCAATCAAAGATATAACCAAATTAGAGCTTTTTGACAAGATACAAATCTGTTCGAAAAAAAATGAACGAAAAAAAAACCGCTTACGTGATTACATTTTTAAAATATTATATTTCAAATGTATATTTGAATGAATGTTTCTCCAAACACGAAGTTATTTTATTAATTGGTGACGGAGTGCTGTAACAATAAGAAACAGAAGAAATTTATTCTATTTACATCAGTCAATTAACAACATGTTTGTCACGTGATTCATATTCATATTTCGATTTATTATACCAGGTTGTACAACAACAAGTCTGTCACAATAGTCTCTAGATTCTACTCTCTGCCGATTATA